GTGTGTGTGTGTGTGTGTGTGTGTGTGTGTGTAAGACGGTGCACAAATATGTGAATTATGTGCAAATAAAAACTGAACATAATCTTAATGTTTTCTCTTTTTCCTCTCACAAGAAGCAACTGTACGCCTGCTCAGTTTAACAACTCCATCAGCTCCAGCGAAGGGTCGTTTGGTGTCCGTCTGCGTGTCTCTGTGTGTTTATGGGACGCCGACCACATCTCACAAACACAGAAACCTTCTATTTCTGCTGTGCTTTGAGTGATTCCACACACACGCTCACAGATGTGGACTTAAAAAATGACTCCATACTTGTGCACATGCAAGGTAACGGCTCTCATTCGCGCCTTACCTTGAGTTAGTGTCGTTGGTCTGACTCTGAGCGTCGGTCTGTCCCAAAATCAAAGACGTTACGAGAAGGCACATGGTCCACACCCGGTCCTCCATCCTGCCGTCCTCTCAGGCCCCAGACCCCCAGATCATGAACAACGGGAGAGGGAAAAGGAGGAGGACCAGAAGAAAGCAGGACGGAGGAGGGAGAAGTCGGGGTAGAGGCGTGGAGAGACGCTCGAGTTCGCTAAAGGGAKGGAAGAGAGGAGAGAGAATGATGGAGAGAAGATGGAGGGACAAGTCAGAATGAAACAAATCCACAAARTTGATTACTAGTCGGAGCACTTGTAAAATATGTTTCTGCAGGTGTGGGTTGTATCAGATGTGTATACAAATCACTTCACTGCACAGCCAGCAACAAGCGAGGCTCTTATTGGTATTCTGACTCTCTTTGCTTCTTTAGTGCAAGACTAAACACCTTAAAAACAATGGGCCTCATGCAAGAACATGTTCGTATTCTTATCCTAAATTTCTCTTACTTTTGTTCGTACGAAGGGTTTGTAAGGACATGCCACGTCAGATTCAACAAACTCTTCTATTTTCAGGAAAACTGTGTAAATGAGCTGCGTAAACATAATGATTTCTACCTGTTCGTATCCAGCTGCTCGTGCACACAGAGAGGAGATTAGCATAATTACCACCCCAAAAACAGGCTATGTTTACTGCCTCAGATATCAGGAAGTGTCCATTCATGAAAATAACAGCGAAAACTAAAACGAAGAACTTTATGAGTTTGGAGATTAAAGTCCTGCTCTCCGAGATCGAGAAAAGAAAACATGTCCTTTTTAGCAGCGTCAGCTGTGGACTTAAAGGAGCTGCTAAAGCCAAAGAATGGAATGAAATTACTGCTGTTAATGTTGTGTCTTCTGTGGGTCGTTACAGTAACAAATAACAATCTAAATCATATTCATCTCTCTCTAGTCCTGCTCCGGTTTTTCTTTGGTCAAATATTTTTAATATAAGTGTAAACACACGTGCATTACATAGGTTTCATTTATTCAGAGGAAGAGCGGTCACGCACCGCTACCACCCCCCACCGCCCACCTGGCCGTCTCCCCACTCCCGGCGTCTCAAGTGTCAGATGAAATTCTGAAAAGACGCATTTTAAAATGTCTCCAAACTTCAATTAATGAATAATTGTGTGAATGTCGTTAAGGCATGTTAGACTTTTTTCTGCTGATATGTGCTATTAATGCTTCCTACAGTTGCATTCTGCAATAATCAGCTATTTGTTGCAACTGTAGCTAAAGTTTAGCTGATATTAGCTAAAATTATTTCAATTACTTGATTTTGGCCAATTTTTGATATATTGAGCTAAAAATGAATATATTGGTAGCTCAGACTTAGCTCTATCATAAATTGCAGCCGAAATAAAAGTCCAAGATGGCCACCAAAGCTATTTTTAAAGGCCTTTTACTCAGCCACTGTTTGAGATATTGACATGAAAATTTATGTACTGGTAGCTGAGAGCATGCTCTATAACAGTGTTTCCCAAAGTTGGGGTCGGGACCCAAAGTGGGGTCCYGAAACATCAAGGTGGGGTCCTGAAAAGATTTTCTGAATTAATTACATTTTTGCCTTAGTTGTTACAAATGAGTGAGGTTAGTATATTTAAAATGGATAAATGTAGTATAAAAAATATTGTTACTATGCCCATGTTTTGTTGACCTGATACAAACTGATACTGTTTATCATCCAAAAATGGCACAGGTCTCTGCTACTGTTATTTTGTGGGTCAAAAGCTGAAAAGTTTGGGAACCACTGCACTTTGGTTCCCAAAGTTGGGCTTGGGACCCAATTATGGGTCATGAAGCACCTTGGATAATCTCCAGAAATCAATTTAAAGGGTAATAAAATAATTGCTGATGTAATATTTTCCCTATAATTATAACAAAACACAAAATAAGTAAAAAATAAGTATTTATATTTGTGTACAAGCTGTTTAGATTGTCAAAAAGCCTGCGTTTTCAGGGTTATTAACGAAGTTCGTGTACTCAGACCAGTAATATTTGGGGTCACAAGTTTTTGCCATGGATACTTTGTGGGTCAGAAGACAAAAAGTTTGGGAACCACTGCTCTATAACATATTGAAGCATCAAGAAACTTCAATATTTGTGGCCACAGTTATTTCGGCTACTTTTTTCCCATTGGAAATGAATGGAGCTTTATTCAACATCCTTCAATTTCTTCATAATATTTCTAAATCTTTACAGAACCTTACACATTATATTCTGGTTTTGCTCCTATTAAATTCCTTGTGACAATTTTAGCTACTTTCTTGCTAGTTTTAGCTTTTTCAGTCATTTAAGCTAAAATTCTTCTTCCTTCTAATATTCTTCTGCTTTTTTACTTTTTTGTGCTTCTTTCTGCTAATTGGAGTTATTTATGATTCTTACATTTGCTTTCTGCTATATTCAGCTATTTTAGCCTTTAGCTTTTAGCTTTTTATGCTATTTAAGCTATAGTTCTGCTTCTTTTTGCTATTTCTCTGCCTTTTCTGCTTATTTTTTACTTTTCCGTGTTTCTTTCTGCTAATTATAGTTCTTTATGATTTTTACAGTTGCTTTCTGGAATATTCAGATATTTTAGCCTTTAGATTTTAGCATTTTGTGCTAATTCAGCTATAGTTCTGCTTCTTTTTGCTATTTTCATGCTTTTTCAGCTTTTTTACTTTTTTGTGCTTCTTTCTGCTAATTTGAGTTATTTATACTATTTAAAGTTGCTTTCTGCAATATTCAGCTGTTTTAGCCTTTAGCTTTTAGCTTTTTATTGTAATTTAGCTATATTTTGGTCCTTTTTGCTGTTTTTCTGCATTTTTTGCCTTTTTCAGCTTTTAAAATTCACCTTATAACAATTATTTTGCCAATTCAGCTCAATTTCAGCTTCTTCTGCAGCTTTCAGCTTACGTTTTCAGCAACAGGCATTCACACTTGCATTTTCGCAGGAAATGCAATTTCTCTAGTTATGGAGTGTGATTTATTTTCAACTCGAAATATCTTCAAACTAATGAAATATGGAGTTATTAGTAAGAAAAATCCATCTGGATAACAGCAGACTGACTGCTCATAAAATATACGACAGGTCTGGACCACTTGTGAATTTTGTTTGTATCTGAAAAAAATCTTAGAACACGAAAACATTGGTGAATGTCACAAATTCTCCTAAATCACTCGTTTGCACAACTTAAGAACAAATCTGTGCGTACGAACGGTTCTTGCATGAGGCCCAATGTTCCTAAATCATACAGTGCAGAGGAGGTGAACATTCAAAGAAAACAATCTTGAATAGTGTTTCTGGTAAAAATGCACATCCCTAAATACATTTATTCCGTTACAGTACTGAAGTAATTTTTTTGAGCATTTGTAATTTTACTAAGCATTTTTAATTATAACTTTTACTTTTATTTGTTACATTTAAAACATAAAAATTATACTAAAATTTAACACCTTACAAATTTAAATATGACCGGAGCTCAACGTGAAGGGATAGGGCCACTCTAAAAATGAAGTGTTGAATTTACTTAACCAAGTTAACTGGTTCCACTAATAGAAGTTAAGTCAATTTAAAGCAATTTACTCAAATCAGTTTCGTAGAACCAGTTTGGTTAAGTAAATTTACCACTTTATTTCTTAGAGTGCACACACACAAAAAAACCCTTAAATGCCTCCTCATAAAATGATGCTATGCAACTTTTGTAAAAAAAAAAACTTAAGCATATAATGGAAATCCCCCCATCTGATACAAACACAAAAGCGTGTTTAGTCACCATGTTGGGACCACAGGCAGAGCCCTCAGCAGCTGGCATGAACTTGGTCTCACACTTCCTCCCAAAACGGTGGCACCACAGAGCCTTGCAGATATCCTGGAACAACATGAGAGAAAAAGGAGTGAGAAGACATAATAAGGATCCTCCTCACAGCAGCTGTAAACAAAGCTCACGAGCGGAGAAACATTTAATTCCAAACAGTGTTAGTTTGCCTCCGGGGAGCTATGAAAACCCGTTGATGAAAGCTTGCTGAAATAGGGATTGTCTGAATAATGTTCATTTGGCAAGCTACCCCCGTGCAGCACTCGCGTATCTACAAAATATTTATGCTTCTGTAACTAGGATGAAAATGTAGAAAAGTGGCTCAAATTGTTTACATTTATCACTTTTGTTGAAGAGTGAGACAATTCTTCAATTTCAATTTGCCAACCGGTGTGCCTAATTTTTGTTCTCACTTATTTTTACAAAATATCCTGAGGCTTGGGTG